AGCTCAGATAATGAAGTACCAGTTAAGAGAAATAAAAGCATGGCCTGTGTAATGCCAATTTGCACCACTCAGCTAGTTTGGAGAGGATATTTAGGCTATGTTTCTTTATGTTCTCAGGTTCCTTGACAAAATGCGCTTCAATGACTAGTTAATTATTTAAAAAGCCAAAAATGAGCAGTTCCCCAGTATACCCCCAAAATGACCCTGGCCCAAGGAATGGCTGAATCACACCTGTGAACATAACAAGCTGCATACATACTGTCCTGCCAAAATGGGTCTGCTTTGTACAGAAAGAGAGAATATGCAAACAGAGAAAGTGTTACTGTAAAGCTGGGGGTGGGTGCAGAGAACAGGGGTTTTTCCCCCAAGAAAGCCCAGGGAAAGGCCAAGTTCAACTTAAAAAGTTAAGAAGAGAACAAGAGGGCAACAGCTATTGCTCTGGGTCAGATTTTTTCAATGAAGAGCATCAAAAACAGATTTTGGATGTATGTTTCATAGGTACATTGAATGTGTTTGATGTGTATATATGTGTGTGTGTAAAAGAGAGAGGAAACAGGCTCTGCTGGGAAATGACAAATGTGAAAATGCCAGATAGAGCAGAACTCAAATGCCTTGCTCAGGACATATGCTTTCCCATTTTCCCATCATTCACCAGAGTGATGCCTTGCAAGAACTTGTCCTTGGCCCAGCAGATAGCGAATCCCCCCAACAGCTAATATTTACATAACTGTGATCCTGAGGTAGCCAAGCAAACATTCCAAAACCAAGTAATTTGTAATATTTTTAAATGCAAATATATTTTAGGGCTTTTTCTTGGCAAACATGTTTGCTAAAATTTATAATACTAAGCAGGAATTGGCCAAGAGTGCTATTCAGGGTTAATGGAATACAACCGTATTTCTCAGTCATCCAGCAGAAAGCAGAAGAAGCCCCAGGGGGGAGGTCTTTGGCAGGCGTCAGCTAGCTCTATCATGGTCTCTGTGCCCAGGGGCTGTGGATATCATTCAGTCTGTGCTAGCTAACCTAGTAAGCTGAGCGATGTCCAAATCCCCACTCCACAGTGGCCAGGAAAACAGCACCATGATAGTGTTGTTCCAGTTGCTTGAACAGATGTGTTCAGTTATAACCATCAGGACTAGTATAAAACCCAAACCAAACCAAACCCATTGCCATCTAATTCATTCTGACTTGTAGCGACTCTATAGGACAGAGCAGAACTGCCCCTTAGAGTTTCCAAAGCTGTCAATCTTTATAGAAGCAGGCTGCCTTATCTTTGTCCCACAGAGCGGCTGGTCGGTTCAAACCATCATCCTTTTGGTTAGCAGCCAAATGCTTTAATCACTGTGCCACCAGAGCTCCATCTAGTATATAGAAGTGCTGCCCAAATTTGCTTGGTGATGAAAATCACCTGGGTTCAGGGCTGGCCTTGTGGGCTTATGCTCAGAAGCATTGGTTTGAGATCCAGTGCTCTGTGGTTGCCATCTGGTAATTCTTTTATATATATATATATATATATATATATATATATATAAAATTGGGTTTTAGGTGAAACTTTACATAGCAAATTAGGTTCCCATTTAACAATTTCTACACAACTTGTTCCATAATGTTGCTTACATTTATCACAATGTGTGAACACTCTCATCATTTCCATTCTTTTGGTTCTGTTTCCATTACTGTAGCTTCCCTGCCCCTCCTTCTTCTAATCTTTCTTTTAGGGTAAATGTTAACAGTTTGGTCTCATGTAGTTGATCATTTAAGGGAGTACATTCCTCACGGGTGATATTGCTTCTTTTATTTGGATGAAAGATGACCACTGGGTGTGGCTTTAGTTCCAAGTTCAAAAGGTATCTTAGGGCAATAGTCTCGGGGCTTCCTCTAGTCTCTGTCAGTGCAATAAGTCTGGCCTTTTTTTAGGAAATTTGAGTTTGATCTACATTTTTCTTCCTTTCTATCCAGGGCTTTCTATTGTGTTACTGTGTCAAAACAGTCGGTAGTGGGAGCCAGGCACCATCTAGTTCTTCTGGTTTCAGGTTAGATGAGGTTGTGGTTCATGTGGGCTGGTAGGTCTGTGGACTACTTTCTTCTTTGAGTCTTTGGTTTGCTTCATACATTTCCATTCTAGGCAAGTTGAGACCAATAGTTGTATTTTAGATAGTCGCTTCCAAGCTTTTAAAACTCCAGACACTACTCATTAAACTAGAATGTAGAATATTGTTTTTATGAACTATGTTATGCCAATTGACTGAGTTATCCCATGAAACTATGGCCCCAAGCCATCAAACCTATGTGGTTTATTATATATATGGATACACATGCAGCATATATAAACATGTATGTACATATGCCCGCATATACTCCTCTACATGCACACCTATATGCTCACATGTGCCTTCCTATGTATCTTATAATTCTTGGTGATTTTACATTGGATTTTGGATTTTGTAAGTGAAATTTAATGGCACAATTGAGAATGAACTGAGGGCTTTGACTCTCCCATCATATGCAGTTCCACCTCTCACCAGCTCCCTGGGATGGTTTGTCCACCTTCCACTCCCCTCTCGCCTGGTGCTTCGGCCCTACCCTGCCTTTCCTTCCCCATGTCTGGCCAGCAACCACTACCACCTGCCACTCTGGTGCTCTAGACCCCACCCACACTCCCCCTCCTCACCTCCACCTATCCACCATCACAGGCACAGGGAGGGTTAAGGTTGGGTGCACACTCCACAAAGCATCTTGGGATGAGGCATGGCCACATGGCATTTTAGGATGGTGAGTGTGCCAAAGCACTGGGGTGGGGTGAGGTGAGTCTCTCCATCATCCTCAATTAAGATAATGAGCAGATCCTGGCCCATAGGTTGCTGCATTGAACCAGTGGGAGGAGAAGATTGACTGACCCTCCCCTGCTTGAGCAGAGTGTCTCATGCCAGTGGCTGGCAGGAGGGAACCTGGCAGTTGATATGTATGTGTGCATGCAGGCAAAATCCTAGGGTGCAGCCCCTGGGCGCCTGTGGGAGTCTGCACTCTCTCAGCAAATATCCCCATACCAAGAGTGCAACATAAAATAGCAAATAAAAAACGCATGATAAGTTGAGCGAAAGACTGAAAGGAAGGAAACCATTTTAATGATTCTATTCCCATTGGTGCACAGATCACACTTGGAAAAATCCTAGGTGGTTAGGAGAATGGTTTCTGGCATCAGGCAGACTTGGGTTCACATCCTAGCTTCACCACTACCTAACCTTAGGGGAGTTATTGTGCCTTTCTAAACATCAGTTCACTAATGTATAAAATGGACATATTCATACCACTTTATAAGGTGTGAATATCAAATAATTATTTACTATATATACTAAATATTCACAACACTCAACAAATTTTAAAACATTTAGGAAGATTGTTGATTCTGGGTGGTTGGATACACAGGTATTTATTATCTTATTCTACAAGTTTGCATATATTTTTAAGACTGAACAAAATACGAAGCAACAGGTAGAGTGAGAGGGAGTCAGAGGCTTGAAGTGAGTCAGCCCAATAGTCTCCAGGTAGGAGGTGAGGGTGTCTGTCAGTGTCTAGCACGCAGTAGGTATCCAGTCAATTAAATTCAGGGCAAGAGGAGCCTTCAAAGAGCATGCTCCAAAGACTTTTCTGACCCACACTTCAAGGGATCAAAGACCCCTTTCTCCTTGCTGGTTTCATGCCCAAGGCATCAGTTCCCAAAGAGCAAGTCAACACTGGCAAAGGGTTTACCAAATGTTGAGTGTGCCCTCTAGTGTTCACACTTGTCAGCTTTCTTCCCAAAGAGGTGGATCAAGGTTCTTGCCCACACTGGAAGTGAAACTCTTCAGGGGATCTAGCCACTGAGACTGTGAAAACAGTCATTGTCCACTGACTTCATGTAAATGAGTGTACAGAAGAAAGAATGGGCTGACTTCTTACCTATAACACCCAGGCTCAAGGCAGAACCCAAATGCCTTTGTCCACTTGGCCCAAGAATGAAGCACAACTAACAGAGACTTTTAGAGGAGAGTGGAAGGAGTGCATGAGTCCTGGCATTCTCACTGCCTGGATAGCTGTAAGCACAGACCTCAAGGAGGCCTTACATCTCATTTTATAATATTCCAGTTTGGAAAGGGCTTGAAGAGGCCTCCCAGAAAAAGATGTCGTCCCTGGTTGGCACACTCAGTTGCTACCCACAAGGTTACAGAGTTTGCCATCCATCCAGAGGTGCCTCCGAGAAACCAGCCACTGAAAAAAAAAACCCTAGCAGGCATAGTTCTGCTCTGCCACACGTGAGATTGCCAGAGTTGAGGTCGACTCTATGGCAAGTGGTGGGAGTTGGTTGTTTGGCTTTTCGCTTTCAAGTGATATGTAACAAGGCAATGTCCTTGTGCAGGGACCGGAGATTCAATAATCACTTTTGATCCCAAGAGGCCACGTCGTTGTGTTTCATAAAGTACCACCTATATCCCCCATGAAAGGAGCTCTGGTGGGCCAGTGGTTGAGGCATTTGGTTGTTAAACAAAAGGTTGGTGGTTCGAATCCACAAGCCGCTCTGCCAGACAAAGATGAGGCAGTCTGCTTCTGTAAGGATTTACAGCCTTGGGAAGAAGCCTATGGGGTTCAATGTGAGTAGGAATCAACTCAGTGGCCATGACTTTGGTTTGTTTTTTGTCTCCATGAAACTAGTCATACCATCAGAGAAAAGCAATCAAAGGCCCAAATCACCAAAGGAAGTCAGTTCCTCCCATTTGCCTCAGCTAGACCTTCCCCTGGCTCTGATCCAGCATGTTCCCTTCAAGGCAGTTACAGAAATGGCTTTTTTGACTGGGATCCAGAAACACCCATTCATTTGCAAAGCTGACACTTTCCAGAAAACACTCCATTCCTGCCAGCACCTAGAAGCCAACATTTTGCCCCCTCCTTTAGTCAGTGTATGTATTAATTTTGTTCTAGAGCAAATATATTATACAGAAAGGTTATTCATTATGTTTCCACAGGTCGTTTTGAATGGTGAAATTGATGCATTCTGTGGGGGCTCCATCATTAATGAAAAATGGGTTGTAACTGCAGCCCACTGCATCAAACCTGGTGTTGCAATTACAGTCGTTGCAGGTAAACAAAGGGAAAAAAGTAACGCTAATCTGCAGCATCATTGGATCTCCTATGGGATTGCTACATCATATGTTACTAGACTCTAATAGGATCATTGCTGAATTAGTCTGGCTAGCGGTAGAGGGGCCATATTTTCAAAACCTGATTTGCTCCATCCTCCAAGCCCCCCATAGTTCTCTTTGTGGGCCTTTATCAACACTCATCTCAGTGGGGTACAATATTGATATGCCCATTTCCCCACCAAGCTGAGTAGGTGACATGTCGCTGATCTTTGTATCTCTGATGCCTGGGAGAGCCTGTAGCATGTCCTCAGCCAACATTTGGAGGAACGATCAAATGAATTTATTGTATGTGCTCAGAACAGGGATCTGAATATTTGAAATTGGGAAAGTCTAAGAGAATTCATGACAACTAGATTCATTATCACCTATGCCCGATATAAGATGTATAACAGCCTGGCTAAATGGAACCATCTCCATTTGGTCCTGACTAGTTTCTTGGTCTGACATGTGTATAGTGGCCCTTGTTACATGTTACCAAAATCATCACAATATAAGGTGGAAGCCAGTTAAGTCACTGATAACAAGTGGATGCTTAAAAAGTAGGCTGCTTTATGGAAAAGACTGTGATTGAAGAAGAAATTTCTTTTCAATAGGTGAACACAACGTTGAAGTGAAAGAGCCCACTGAGCAAACGCGAAATGTGATTCGAGCTATTCCTCACCACAGCTACAATGCAACCGTTAACAAGTACAGCCATGACATTGCCCTTCTGGAACTCGACAAACCCTTAACACTGAACAGCTACGTAACACCAATTTGTGTGGCCAATAAGGAATACACAAACATCTTCCTCAGATTTGGATCTGGCTATGTGAGTGGCTGGGGGAAGGTCTTCAACAGAGGGAGATCAGCCACAATTCTTCAGTATCTCAAAGTTCCACTTGTTGACCGAGCCACATGTCTTCGGTCCACAAAGTTCACGATCTACAATAACATGTTCTGTGCTGGCTTCCATGAGGGAGGTAAAGATTCGTGTCAAGGAGACAGTGGGGGGCCCCATGTTACTGAAGTGGAAGGGACCAGTTTCTTAACTGGAATTATTAGCTGGGGTGAAGAGTGTGCAGTGAAAGGCAAATATGGAATATATACCAAGGTATCCAGGTATGTCAACTGGATTAAAGAAAAAACAAAGCTCACTTAAACATTCAATTCCAAGGTTGGCTTCTTATTTGGAATTGAAAATGGACAGGGTCCCTTACTAACTAATCATCTCCCCATCCCTTGTTAGATTTAAATGCATTCATTCTAAGAAGGCTTTCTTCCTTACAGGGGAGAATTCTGTCTAGAAGACATATTTCACTAGAGTAAGTAGATTAGAAAATGTGATCACTAGGGAAACAGATGGTGGTAGGAAATCATGACCATTCCTTTAGGTCTAGCCCTTCACAAGGTTGTGAAATTAAGTTCCCCACCCTGCCATCTGGCACTATGGTTCTCCACTACGGCATCTAGCCTGAGTCTCCCTCCTTAGTAAGGTTCCATGTTGCAGATCTTTCTTGCCTCTCCCACCACAACATTGTATTTATAAAATTTATGTCCAAGCTTCTTGTTTAGTCAATCACAAGACCAGCACCACACTCATAAAGGAAGAAATGTGGTAGGTATCATGGGTAGACCCTGTGCCTTGAACACAGGAGGAGGTGACAGGTTAAAACTCATCAGAAACTCTATTTCTTTATTAGTACTTCATTTCTGAATCCTTTATCTATTCTAACTCCCATATCTCAAATCAGTTTCTATGTCCCTCTCTCCAGCCACAGGCATTAAAGGAGGGAAGGGGCACATCACACCATTGTACTGATGTCCACAGTTACATGTGTCTGTAAAGCCCTGACTTGCTTTAGTTTAGTTACTGTTTAGAATACAGGGATAAAGTAAGGTGCCTCAAGCACTTGAGGGGAAAGTTCCTTTCAGAGAGTTACATTATTAAAATGCATGCATAATGGAAGCAATAAACCATCTGGAAAAGTTCCCTAATACCTTGTGATTGTGTGGGTATAGAGGTCTGACCAGGTATGGTTCCATGAAGGAGGCAAGACTGGAATATGAACATACCTAAGAAATATACCCAGCTGTACTGTCCCTGTCTGAAAAAAAATTAATGTTAACAGTAGGAGACCAGGTTGCAGACTAGAATTAGTAGAGTCTTCATGGAAGTATTGATCAGTGGATCTCTTGGCTGAGAGCACTGTCTGGGGCCAGTGAAGAAATTACCCAGAGAACATGATTATCCTGTCTTCTTGACAAGTATATCCCTGAAGTGAGGAAGGGTCCACTAAGCTCAGTGGCATAAGTCATTATGATCAGCCAACTAACTCCCTCTTTTCTGGTTTCGTGCTCCCAAACAGCTTTTAGATTACAACTAGGCCTTCTATATTGAATTTTCTGGAGGGAGAGAATGTGCTGACCAACCAGTATGTGCACTTCAATTTGTTCAACAGCAACACTTCTCTTTGTGACTTAATAAACTGGTGTTCCAGTTCACACCCCAGTCTTTCTTGAATTTGCTTAAGTGAATCAGTCACCATTATTTGATTACACTTGGAGCTACTGAAAAAAAATCATATTTTGGACCACTTTGTCCCCACTAAGCTACTGCTTTCCCTGCCTCCACCCTACTCCCAACCAGACCTCACTCTTGCTGATTTCTTGGATAATATCTTTGTTACTCAGTCTTTTAAAACATAAACAGTCAATAAATGTATTTTAAAATTTATCAAAGGAGTGTTTCTTGTTGAATCATCCACAGAGAAGTGCTCTACATACTGTATGACATTCAGCAGAGCACTCAGAAGATAGTGTCCACGTGCCATAAAACAGAGTAGAGATTTGATGCTCTACTATCACCTGGGTTTCATATGAGGCTGTGTGTGTCATGTCCTGGAGAGGACAGTGGTATGGATCCTTCTGGGAAATAATTGGGTCTAACTAGCTGAGAGATCACATTGGATAAGTAGCTCCTGATTTAGGGCTTTGATTTCTCCATTAGTATAGTGAGGGAGTTTGACTGGATGCTCTCCAAAGACCCTTGTAACCTTGATAGTCTTTGATTTTATTTTCTCTCATTTCTTTATTCAATGAATATTTAAGAAGCAATTACTATATGCCAAAAAAAAAAAAAATAATAACCCACTGCCATTCAAGTTGATTCTGACTCACAGCAGCCCTACAGGCCTTTTTTTTTTTTTTTTTTTTTCAATTGTGAATTGTGTTAAAGTTTACAGAGCAAATTCATTTTCTATACAACGGTTCATACACATTTTGTTTCGTGACATTGATCGCAATGCCCATAATGTTACAGTTCTGTTCCCACTTCCTTCCTGTGGTTACCTTTTCCCTATGTCCTTCTTTCCCATGTATTCCTGCCCTCTGAGCTATCTCCCTGTACAACTACTGCCCTTCTGATCCCCCACAGTTGATTGTTCTAAGAAGTGTACCTACCTGGTGTAAATGTTCACCTTATATGTCTGTCTATTGTTTGGCTGGAAGCCACGGGAGTAATTTTAATTCCAGGCCCAAAAGGTGACGAAGGGTCATTAGTCTCAGGGGTTTCACCAGTCCCTATCAGACCAATAAGCCAGATTTTTTATGATTTTGAGTTTTCTTCCACATTTTTCTCCCACACGGTTCAGGATCTCCCACACTGATCCCTTTCTGAGTGATTGACAATGGTAGCTGGGCACCATCTAGTACTTCTGGTCTCAGGGTCATGTAGGCTGAGGTGTGCATGGTCCACTAGTCCATTGGACTAATTGTTTTCATGTGTCTTTGGTTTTCTTCATTCTTCTTTGCTCCTAAAAGACCAACTATTACATCTTAGATGGCCACTTGTAAACTTTTAAGACCCCAGTCACTATTGACCAAGGTAGTATGTAGAACAATGTTTTTGTGTAGTATGTTATGCCAGTTGAGCTTGATGTCTCCCATGACCATGGTCCCAAGCCCACGGCCCCCGTGACTCCCTCAAGGTGTTTGGTTGTGGCTAAGAAGTTATCATAACTTTGCCACATTAGCTCTATTATATATATGGACATTCTTATAGCACATACAAATACATATGTAGAAATATCGTCTGCCAAACTTATATATGGTCATAAGTATATTCCCTTTTGCCTAGACATACCTGATCATTTACCAAGGAGAATCACACTCCTTAGAACAATCAACCATACAAGATCCAAAGGGCAGCATTTGGCCAGGGATAAATCTCAGAAGGTAGGAAGGGATAGGAAAGAAGGATGAGTGGAAATTGTAAACATGGAGGAAGTGGGAAGAGTGTCGTTACATTGTGGGGATTGCAAGCAATGTCACTAAACAAAATGTGTATGAATTGTTGAATGGAAAACCGATCTGTTCTGTAAACTTTCACTAAAATCACAATAAAAAGTTTAAAATAAACAAATGAAATAAAATAACATATGGAAATTGCTTAGTCAGTACCCTACTAAACTATACAACTAGTCCCTGGTGGTGCAAATTGTTAACACAACAGGCTGCTAACCGAAAGGTTCAAGTCCACCCAGGGGCACTTCTGAGGAAAGACCTGGTGATCGTCTTCTGAAAAATCAACCATTGAGAACTGTATGGAATACAGTTCTACTCTGACCCACATGGGTGTCCGTGAGTCAAAATCAACAATAACTGGCTTACTGCACGACCAAACCCAAAAAGCCAAACTCACTGCCATTGACTCAATTCCCGACTCATAGTAACCCCCTTTGGGTTTCTCAGGCAGTAAATCTTTACGGAAGTAAGATTGCCCAGTCTTCCTTCCGCGGAGTGACTGCTGTATAGTTGCTCGATAAATGTTAGCTGTATCTGATTCCATGTATTTTTGAGTCTCTTAAAAGGAGACCTACTTAAAAAATAACAATGCCAACAATTTAGGTTTCATGAACAACCAAAGAAATCGGTTCTGCTGCTGTTGGCTACAGGAGGAATAGAAAGAGTAGACACTAGAGTTGTTGCAGGATGCTAACGCAGGCGTGGAAACATGTTACTGCACATTTGAATAACTAAAATCTGGAGCCCCTGTCTTCTGCAGATGGTAAAAGTGAGATGGTTTGGCCTTGTTGCCATGGAGACCACCCCTTACAAAAGCAGTGAAGGGGAGCTGGTCTGGCACCTTTTGGGACTGGCCTTCCCTGTGGCAGAAGGTGGAGCTCGTAGGCCTGCAGATCCCCAATCCACAGTAATCCCTTTGCCCAAGAGCCCTGGAATGACTGAATTCACCAGGAACCACCTGTGCCATGTTTCCACCACCGCATATGTGGGGCCTTCAGGGCCACCTAAGTGCCAGCGCCTTCCGAGCCAGGCCCTCACTGGATTCCGCCAAGGGCGTTTGCAGTCTCCACACAAGAGTCATTAGTGCTTTCCAAATCACTGTAGCTACTTAGCCTAAATAGGCTGCTGTAATATTGGAAGTGACAGATGAAAATAGAACTCTTGCTGAGTGAAGAAAAGTGTATTAATGCAGTGTAGTCATTTTAACTTGCTGTTTAAGTATGACTTTTTTTTTTTTTTTTGGTTCTTTTGAACATTAGTTGTTTTATAGTGACAGGGACAAAGTACTGTCTCATTTTCTCTGCTAAGGGAAAAAAAGAAAGGATTTTTTCTCCCACACTCCTGAACCATGACAGACTAGTCCACAAAATTGCTTCATCATAATTCCTAAAAACTGAAAGCTTCTACTTCAATCTAAAAATGTCAAAGCTGTAAGGGCCCTTACATATCATCCATTCCACTCTGCCCATTTAACTAAAGAAGAAACTGAAGAGGAATCCTGACTTCTTGTTGTTATGTGCTGTCCGACCGACTCACAGCGACCCTTCCTTGGATTTCCGAGGCAGAGGCGGAGTCACCTGTTTGTCAACCATTACAGGCTGAATCCTGACCTGTGGTTGACAAACAGGTGACCAATGACCAATCAAGGACGGCACTAGGTAACCTGGAAGGCAGCGGGGCAGAAAACAAACCCGGCAGCTGTAGCTCCTCGCTCACAGCAGGCCCAGATGTGACATTTGATTTCTTGAGCGCTCTCATCAGGGTCACCCGGCACACACTCCTTCCGACAGTATTTCAGCTCTGCTGGGGAAGACAGCCGGAGCACACGGAGGCCAGCAGGCTACTCTAGCAGCTGGGGTTGCCTATAAGGTTGTAGGGAAGTGCCAAAGGCCCACTGCCGCTGAGATCCTAACGATATAGCACACCTGCGGATGCAGGGGAACCAGCACAGCTGCCACCAGGCTTGGCTGAGAACCCAAAAGCAAAGCCACTGCCGGCCAGTTGATCGCGACTCACAGCGCCCCTAGAGGACAGAGTGGGACTGCACCACAGGGTTTCCAAGGCTGTCAGTTTTCACAGAAGCAAAGCCCAAACCACACCCACTGCCGTGGA